TATTGTGTATAGTTCAATTGTGGAGGAAAGATGAGCTTTGTGTGTGGTGTTTCTGTTGTCAGGTGCAGTTTAGTTTAGGTGGAGTGATGAGTCTGCTGGCTGTAAAATCAAACGCACCCTTCCACCTGCTTGTGATGTAGATGAGAATACAAAAGCTAGAGCTTCAGGTTCAGTCTGCAGACCTCTGGAATAAAAACTAAGAAAAGCAAGTTAAAATATTGTTTCATTTCAGTGATGTCAGAAAATATCAGAGAATATGTAGTGGTCTTCAGAAGCCATGGCTGCAGAATATTAAGCTGATTAAGACAACAGCAGAACAAGTACCTTCAAGCATTTTGATTGAAAACTGGCTGTACCTACATGCCACAGAAGTAAATATGTTGTTGGACATATTCATATGGAATGAACTTCCATATTTGCAGAAGTACAGTCTCATGAGAGAGTGGTAGCACTGATGCTGTTAAGTGTTTTCAAAGCTAGAAAAGGTTTTCATAGCATGATGCTAATGAAGTGATGGATGAAACAAATGGAGAGTTGTTAGAGAGAGGAAAGAAGTAGCAAATTAAGATGATTTAGGCATTGTCAGTTAACTCAATTTTTGATTGAACAGACTGTTCCAATTGTTTACAGTATAGAATGGTGCAAAATGATCTAACTAGCCGTATTTGCTTCATTTTTACTTAGTGGAACAAAAAAGGTTTGGCGATGTTATTCTGCATATTGCAGTTTTTGGCAATGACATGGTAAGATTCTTAAAATTCCTTTTCATTTCTTCTCCCTGTTCCTACACCCTCATGATTATAAACCTATATATACATGCTTTGCAAGTAAGTGTACCCAAATGCCAGCCTCAATCTGTTCTTCTAAGATAGGTTGTGTAACTCCAACAAAATCTATATTCAATCGTCTTGCAGAAATGACAATTTTAAGTATATTCTGCAATGTGTGAACTTATCTGAAGCCTTATAAAAGGAATACATTGCAAAAAGGTTCTCATGCCTTTTCTGTATTGTGAAAGTAACAGTATAAGCGTATGTTCTGCGCATCTCTCTCTTTTTTGAGTTCTATTTTTTCATTTTTGAAGTGAAAGAAACTAAACATTTTCATCCTGCCTCAAGAATACACAGCAGCACTGGGTGAAGAGTGGGTGGATGTGAGAGGGTAAATTTAGTGCGGCAGGTACTATGATGACCACCCAAATTCACTCGGGCAAGGCTTGGCAATGTGTGAGTGAAGGTGAATGCCTGAAATCCTGGCAGAACTTTTGGAAGTTACCTCTTTCTCCATAGATACATACTTTGTCTCTTTGTCCCAGGTGAATTACTTGGTGCTAACTGTCAGGCGACCCAAGGTGACCACAGTTCTTGTTTGAACTTGCCCTGAATACACAGAGCCTGTCTATGCTGAACTTGGGTTTGAGGACAAGTAACTGGACTGTTGGGCATTGTGCTATGCCCAGGCAAATGCTTGGTATTAGATAGAGCTAACTCAGACTGTGTTCTGCATGTTTTCAACAGACAGTTCGCATTTGTTAAGTGTCCTACAGTTTGATCAGGCTGGGCATGAGAACAAAACACCTCCTGGAGGCTTGTGAGAAGCAAGTTTCAGAGGACAATAGAGTTATCAGCTGTTGGAGTGTCACAGTTGTGGCATATTGTTCATACTACAGCATATATCTCTATTTAGAGTTACATAAATATTAGATGTATATTTGCATAGTAATTCAGATTCTCTTTAAAGCTGGAAAAAAGTTGTCTCTATCATCGTGAATAGTTTTTCCAGAAGCATTCTTTTTGGGTCTGGTGATAATAAATCTTGGTTTTTTAAGTTCACGTGCATTAGAAAGTATAAACTACGTTAAAAAAAAAAACAACAAGGAGAAGTAAACCACCAAATCCTTGTCAGTATGTTTAGTTCTTATCCAAATATGTAATCTTTTCTCAGGTAAGCATTAAATGGGATAGGTAATCTTGTTTAAAGTTGTGTTACAACAGGTTGCTTTTATTAATGCTGGATTATAGTGAAATAATTCAGCTCAAGGAGATACATAAACACTCTGCAAATATATTTTTTTCCTCTTTTTTTCAGGTATAGTCTGTCATATATTCCTTTTGCAAGGTGAGTCTGCATAATTTTCATCTTAACAAAAGTCAATTACCTTTAGGCTGGGAAGAAAGTATGTGAGAAGAACATAACATCCTTCCTTTCCTTTTTAATTTTTGGAAAATGACATAGCTTAACTCAAAACTAATGCTTAATACAAACTTCAAATACAAATAAAGTGCACAGTAATTATCTTGGATAAATTTCCCTCTAGTTTTCATCACTGAAAAAAAAATCTTGTTTAAGTTATCCAGTAATTTAAAAATACAGTGATACAATAGTGACTTTTATGGTATTAAAGTCAACTTACAGATTTGAGGTCTTAGTTAAAAGCAAATGAACGACATAGTTTCAGCTACTAAGTCTACTTCTGAATTCCTCCATCATTTTTGGGAGAGGCAAAGGCAATGCTTTGTGTTAATTTTCATTTTGGTAAGCTTCTCTTTGTTTTCACTCTCGTGTACAAAAAGGGAATGAAAGCTAGCCAAACACAGAGTGAAAACACATGCAAGTAATCAAATATAAGAACCTATTATAGGAACCTATTTTTTCTAGAATGATTCATGTAAAATGCAGTTTGGTCTTTCAACTGTGTTTATAAAAAACAAACCAACAAGTTTTTTTAAAGCTTCAGATTTCATCTAGGAAGGACTTTTTTTTTTTTTATATAGTAGTTGATAGTTACAGTGGATAAAACACTTTACCTGAACTTAGGCTTCAAATTGTCATCTTCCTATTTCTGACAACCCAAGCTAACCCATTCAGAAGTAGTGTTCTGAATTCTTGCAGTTCCCAGTAGCCAGGAGACAGTCTCAGTAGGCTCCCTCCTCTTCTTTTTTTTAATATTTTTTTTTTAATGTTCTGCTCTTTACAGAAAGCAAGTTGAGCTTCCAGTCACTGTTTGTTTGGTTTGTTTCCCCTACCAATAGTACTTTTAAGTTCTGGGCAGAAAAAGATCTGGTTACATACATCAGTTAATTTCTTTGGGTTTATTTGTCTATTAGATTTTATGAGCCAAAGAATTGGATTTTATACAGGCTACTTTTAGTAATTCAGTGAATTCTTTAAGGATTATTGAGTTCTTTGCTTATGTGGAATGCTATCATAAATTTCTTGGATAGGCTGCCTTTCTTACAGAAACAGTGCTCTAAACCCTGTTAGGTGCCAGAGAACAGTATTATGTCATTTGTATAAAGTATGCATTTCTCTTGCTTTCAGCTATTAATGGTTTACTCTTAAAAACAGTTAACTTGTTCATGGGTTTGTTGGGGGGTTTTGTTGGTTTGTGCTTGGTTTTTTTAGTTAATTGTGGCTCTGGCAAAAAAAGCCCCCTCAAACCAAACCCAAATGAAAACAACAACAAATGCAACAAAACCAAAATCCATACCTACAGTGACTTTAAATAGAGTCACGAAGGTATGTTTCTTCATTTTTCAAACTAACTAACAACAGAATACAAATTCCACTCCTTAGTAAGTTGTTACTTTCTGAGAAAATGAAAAATAAATGAGATTAAAGTGAGTCATGTAAGTATAACAGTCAGAAAACAGCTTATTTTCAATTTAAAAAATACAGCCCTTCAGATCTTTGAAACCTTAAGGCAGCACCAGCTCTCCATCCTACACTGTCAGTATGTGCACTTTAAACCCTTCAGCCTGTGCTTTATTTCCTGCACTGTGATGGTTTTAACTCCAGTGTAGTTTGGACTCAAAGCACCTGCGGCTTGCTGACTGTCTGGATTTGGTGCATTCCTCGGCCATGCCCTTGCTGGCCAGCCTGAATGAAATAAGACTCTGACCTTTGCTAAGCCTCCAAGTTTGCTGCAGAGCAATTCTTAACACAATGTCTGCATTTTAGCATGTGCTGGAATATAAACAGCGTGGGAGACCTGTGTTTCAGGTTGGGCTTGAGCCTTTGCTTTAGTCAGTTCAATAGAGGAGGTCACACACAGATCCTGCATTTAATAAACTATTGATATTTGTCTTTAGTTTCTTTTGTATTTTAATTTTAAATATGTGATGGTTGAGATGTCTATAAAGAAAATAACAAATAACTTTTTTTTTTCTTTTTAAAGGGATGCTGTGATTAAATGCTTCTCATCCTGTCTAGGGTAAATTATAAACAGGAACCACTGTCCACTTTAGAAGCCAACTGTAAATTTTGCTCAGAAAACTATACTTTTCTACTCCTGAAATAACCAGTAACAATTTAGTATTTTCTGTGCCTTTTGGATTTGGAAAGATTAAATAATTTTTACTAGAAAGAGTTTTAAAAATAAATTTTGTGAATTGTTTGTGTTTACCCTGGAACTTCCAGGCTTTTTTTTAACAAAAAAGTACACTGAAATACTTCATGCAGAGTAGTCTTAAAACTACTTTGCATCCAGTAACAGCTTATTTCTCAGTGGAGGCAAGCCCCTATGATCTGGGTAGTATGCATAAAGATTTCATTTACAGTTCTGTCTAAAATTTGCAAGGTGCCATTCATGTTTGTACATTATCCACTGTATGTTTTCCCAAAGACAGAGTTTTATAAACATTGTAAAGATTTGGTAAGTTATAATTAACTTCTCATTTGAAATGTTCTGTACAAGTGCCTTGTGAAAAAAGCTTAATGAGGATATGTGAAAGATCTGTTTAATGCTTGTTGGATTTTATTGAAAAACTGTATTTTAAATGATTTTTTAAACTTTTGTACTTAAATGCTTTTTACTAAAAGAACTTATGGCAAATGTATAAATGAGACTTGTGAAATAAATTCATTTTAAAGGTGCCTAAAATAATTTTCTTTAGGAATCGGCTACAGAGGCTGAAAATTTCAGCATTACACTTTAACTATGAAAGTAGAAAAAGGGGGATATGTGCATGACTATCCAAATTTGGTTATTAAATTTGCAGACGTGACTTTAAAGCTTCTTTGTTTTTGGTATTTAGAAAAACTGTTCATCCTGACTTAAACTGGTAACAGATTGAAATGAAATACTTTAATACTTTGCCTGGCTTCAGTAAGAGGTTCTCATTTCTAAATTTTTTAAAGAAAGAGCTATTTAGTTATTCTGGAGCAAAGTTAAATCTGTAATGGTTGATAATATATTGCAGAGATTCTTTTGCACAGGATAGATATGCTTGATTCATGTGTTCAAAACCTGTTGTTTTGGAATTACATTTTTCTGTTAATCCACAAATACAGAAGAAGGAATGGCTTGTAAAGACATGAGCTGCAGTGTCAGGAAGGGGAAAACCCCAGTCTTCTTAGTATTCAGGGCTCAGACTAAAGAGAGGAATTGCAGTACAATACATTCCTGTGAATCTCGGTGTATGTTGCAAAACATAGCAACATCTTTTGGGGAAACTGTATACAGGGTGATTGCATTATTTTGCATCTAAACTGCCAACCAAGGAACACCTTTTAACCGATTAAAACAACAAATTGCTGTAAGGCATCCTTCCTGCTGGTAATGGGGGCCTGGGTAGTCCTGGCCCTGCAGCAGGCTCTTGGGCTTGCTAGTAACTGTGTGGTGTAGTGACGTGCTCCAGCTTTGCTCACCCCAGCACTTCGGTGCTGGAGGACCCTTGAGAGAACTTTGAGTTCCTTGTAGTTATCAATTTGCATTGAAGTAGAACATGCATAGGTGGTGATGGATGTAATCCAGGTTATGGCCATCACTGCGTCTTCCTCTCTTGCTGCCACTGATCACAGCTGACATCAAGGGGATCCCTTCCCACTAGTCAGTCAGTGCTTCAGCACTGGGCTTTCAGTTGCTCCAGAGCTTGTTTTGCCCATAATCCATCAGTTCTGATGGTACACAATTAATCACTGTAAGTTTTAATTAGAATGGTATTGGTTTTTCTGATTTTTTTCTTATTTATTTATGCACTATGGTAAATAATGAAGTTAACGCTGCTCAGTTAACACTTAGATCACCAGGAGAGAAAGGGTTCAAGAGCTGAGGTCCAAAAGTTCCATGTACTGGTAGGCCCTTATATGCACTTTAATGTTACATTATGTGCTCTTACTTGTTTTCTCTCCTGAAAATGTAAGGATTTACGTCCTCCATCTGCATACAGAGCACATATACTGTATTGTTTTGTCTATATTTTTTGCTCCTCCACATCCTGTCTTTCTTTAGTGAGTATTCCAAAAGCTCACAGCTGATGAATCCTCGTAGTATAATACCCTTTATGATAGTGTGGAACCATAGGTGTGAAGATCTCTGTCTCAGTGGACTGCATATGTTTTGCCTGTCTTTTGATAAAGTTTTGGTATGCTATGTAAAATAGTACTTTGAAGTAAGTGCTGTAGAACTGATATGCCATGACTACTTTGGCTAAATTTTGGAGTGGTAGTAATCTTGGATTGATAGGAAACATGTTTACTTACTACTGTCCCATGAAACCTCTACAAACTTCTGTTGTTGAGTAGGACTTGAAAGGAAATTGCTGCCTTGTCCATCAGAAAAAAAACCCCCAACCAACAAAACACAAAACAAAACAAAAAACCAAACAAAAAACAAAACCAACCAAACAAAAAAAGCCAAGAACCAAAACCCACAACAAAACCAAACCAAGAAACCACCCCAACAGCAGTGTTGAACTATGCACTTTGTCTCAGTCACAGATGGCAGTGAGGCTAGGAAGAAACACGTCCGGACTATGCTCTTCCTGAGTAAGCAGAGCAGCTCTTGTCCTTAAAGGTGGTTGTGCATTGGAATTTGGTGTAGTAGCAAGTCTGCAAGAGGTCTGAGTGTGAGTGCACTCTTGTCTAGTCTGCCTAATCTTATTCACGGTAATTCAAGTAATCAAGGAGCTCAAAATATCATTAAAGTTTTGAAGAGGGTGTTAGTGTAATGTGACATTAAAATACTGCCCTTTCACATTTGGGCGCCTGAGGACTCTGGGAAGAATTTGAAGCCTGTTTGCCCTCGGGGCGTGCGTGAGCCCCACCGTACTGTTCTTTACCTTCGACTCTGCTGTGGGCCGGGCGGAAGAGGATCGGGAGAAGTAGCACCCGCAGCGAGCTAATGAGGCTCGTCCAGGAGGAACGGACAGTGCCGGCACTACCCCGATCCCAGCCCGCACGCCCACCCCGCGCCGGGGAAGGGTGTTCCCGGGGCGGGCGAAGGGCGGGAAGGGGGGCGGGTTATCGAGAGGGAAAAGCCACGGCGGCTGTCGGTGCGGATCGAGCTCGCATCTAACGCCGGCGGTCGGGGCTCCTTGTCCGCCTGTGGCCATGGGGCTGCAGCCCCGGCGCGCCGCGGGTCCCTGCCCGCCCGCGGGGAGAGGCGCCGCCCTGCCCGGAGCGCGCCCCACGGCTCCCTGGGCCCGCAGCGATGAGCCAGAGGGAGCTCCCGGCCGCACCGCCACCCTGCCGCCTCTCCTGCCGGCCCCCACGGCCTCCTCCGCTGCCGCCCGGCCGCAGCCCAAGAAGCCGCCGGCGGCCGCCTCGGCTCCCAAGAAGGCAGCGCCGCGGCCCGCGGAGGAGAAGGCGCCGAGGAAGGCGCGGGGAGCGCCCCCGGAGCGGCCGGGCCCCCTCTCCAGCTCCTGGCCCTGCTCGTCCCTACAGCGGCCGCCGCCGCGGAGGGTGCCGGCTGAGCGGGGAGCGCGGCCCCAGCCCGCCCCGCCGCAGGTGCGGGGGCGCCCGGGGGCGGGCAGCCGCTCCTGTGAGAGCCTCGGCGGGGGGCCGGGGGAGGCGGCGGGGCGCTTCTCTCTCAGCCTGCCCCCGGAGGCGATCCGAGTGCTGCAGCGCCGCAGCCTGGAGCGGCAGCGGGGGCAGATCACCCCTGCGCCCGGCGGCAGAGCGACCCTGGCCCGGCGCGGCGGCGGCGACCTGCGCGCCCTGCTGAAGGTTTCGCTGCTCAACGACCAGCACCGCTACGACGACGAGGAGTACGAGGAGGAGGAGGAGGCGGGGGCGGCAGCAGACGAGGGGCTGGTGCGGAAATGCACGGAGTGGCTGCGCGGCGTGGAGAACGCGGTCGGCCGCGACCACCCCGAACGGCTGGAGACGCTGCCGCACCTCGGCACCCTCTGAGCCGCCCGGGACCGGGGCCGGGAGAGCGGCGCGGAGGGGCCTCCGGATCGAGAGGTGGGGCCGCTGTCTGCAGCCGTCATCATAGCCTTTGTCGTGCCGTCGGCGCCGCGGGTTCCGCCGTGGGGCCGTTCGCGGAGCCCCCGGACTGGAGCCGATCGGGGGGGCGGCGCCGCCGCTGGGGCGAGGGACAAAGGAGCGGCGACGGCCGGTGCTCGGAGGGAGGGCAGCTGGCTCTGGGCGTCCTGTCTCCACCCTTGGGGTTTTTTTAAGACTTACTTTAAGAGTACTTTATAAGATGTGCGTAATGGTTTTGTATATTTGTACATAAAAGTTCATTTTTATTTATTTGAATAAATGACTCCTGTGTTGCGGTAGCCTTTGCGCCTTGCTAGCTTCGCGTCCCCAGTCTGGCGGTGTCCACCAGCGCGTGTTCGCTGTCTCGATGTCCTCAAGGTAAGGATGGCGGGCCGACCACCGTGGGAAGAGCCTGATACCGTTGAAACCCAGGTTTGCTTGTTGATTCAGTTGCCGCCAACTCGGCTCTAAAGAAGACGCTGTGGCGGAGGAGACGGTGCGGCACAGGCGAGATATCGAGCAGGTGGGGGCGAGCCCGTCCCTGCTGGGGGCAGATGGTGGCGGGGGCGGCCACCGCGCCAGCGGGGAGCATCCCTCGCATGGACAAGAGGAGGAGGAGGGCGCAGTGCAGGCGGCCGTGGAGTGGGCAGAGGCTGATCAGGTCGTCTGCGCCCGGGGCCGCGTCTGCGCCGGGCAACGGGAGGGGAGCGGCTGGGTCTGTGTGTGTTCAGCGCGATTTCCCAGACAGTAATTCAGACACATCCGACCTTTCGAGCTGCTGCCAATTTACGAGGTGGAGGAGGAGGGAAGGAGGGAGGGAGCGCAGCAGCAGCATCCTTTGTCAGCGTCCCCCGGCCTCACATTGCCAGGGCCCACCGCAGCCTTCCCTGCTCCGGGCTGTGACCGTACTTCGTGTTCAGAGCTCTGTGTGTTGGGAGAGGTGAGGAGGGCCAGCGAGAGATTCAAAAATTACCGTCAGAAAAGGAAAGGTAAATCTTGAATGGGCTGACAGTTGTCTCGGCCACCTACTGCCGATCTCATATTGTTACCCGGCTTCTCAGAACAACAGTCAGACCTAAACATTTACTGTGATTCTATAAATGTTTTGTAAATGAATGTTTGAGCATTTAGGAACCCGTTAAATTGAATTACTCTTAGCAGAGTAAAACAAAGATCAGTGCCACAAATTGGGCATTATACATTTCACTTAGATGCCAGTTGTTTACACCAAATGACATTTGTGTTGACTGTTCTATTAAATCATAGAAGATAAACCTTTCTATATATTAGTTGCACTATGTAGCAGTGTGCTACATTTTGGTTTGTTCAAGCACTTTTTTCCATTTTTTTAACCTGAAATTTCAGGAATTACATGCTTTGAGAAAATATTTATTTATTAGATGCATTGATTCCATTCCATGGCTAGGCTTCGCAAACGAAGGTTTGAGAAGGGCTCTACCCACGCTTGCACCAAGTGCGCTGATGGTTAAAAAGGCCAGTGCAAGATAGACAAGTCCGGTTGCAGAAGGTACAGCAGAAAGACTCCCCAGGTGGTATCGATGAGACGCGATTCTTTCTGCGTTGTCTTTTCTCCTCGAGAGTGATCCTGCATGTGTTCTCAAAAGCAGCAGCAGCATTATAGATGGTGTGTCTCCAGGCCTCCCGATTGGAGGCCAGGGTAGACCAATGGTGGTGATCAATATGGCCAAGGCTGAGGGATTGTTTCAGGCAGTCCTTGTATCACCTCTTCAGGGCTCCTCTCTTGCGGCAGCCAGTGGCAAGTTCCCCATAGAGCACGATCTTAGGGAGGCGGTAGTCCTGCATCCTGGAGACGTGCCCTGCCCAGCGCAGCTGTGTTCTCAGCAGCATGGCCTCAGTGCTCGTGACTGCTGCCTGTTCAAGGACAGACGTGTTGGTCACAGCATTGATACTGCCATTGAAAAAGTGATGAACCACTGTAAGACGTGTGAAATAGCTATGCTCGTAGGCTGCAGAAGAAAGCAAGGGGCATGAGAATTTACAGAGTCTAATTCTATTTCATTTACACAAATGCAAAGATTCATTTGTAGTGATAGCTTATGAAATACATGCATCTTCATATGCCTTTAGCTGAGTTTGCATGTAATTCTGCTGTAATTATCAATTTTCAGTAACATCTTCAAGCAAATATGCCTCAACAATTGCAAATTTCTTGCCAAATTTAATATATGATGGATTGATGTAGACTAATTTTTTATTGTTGTTTTTCCATCTTCTAACAATAAGGAAAATGGTAGTAGTTGAGCTATAGCTGCATTTTCCTTTTGTGTCTCTTTTGGAAATGCAAGTTTACAAATGAGCATCCTGGACTCCTAACGTTGTTCCTTATAAGTGCTCTATGGTTTCTTATCAGCTATAATCAGTATCTCCAATTGCAGCAAAAAGTGATTCATTCATTATGGGCTGAAGTATGTTAAAGCTTGTGAGGCTGAAAGCTGCTTTGTTCAGAGCCTGAAGTGTGGCAAAAAAATCAATAAATTTGAATGCACAGCAGCAACAAATACAGCATGAGCTGAGGGAGTGTGAAATTGAAGAAGACGGCCAAGTCTGACAAAGGAGGAACCTGCTCAAAGTATATTAGAAAGAAGAATTTGAGAACTTGGGAATTACCTTTTTTTTCCCCTGAAGAATTGATTAGAGCACTGCTGCCCAGAGGTCATGCAGCTAGGATCTTCTGTGTTAGGTCACTGTGCATGGTAACTGGAAGTGGGACTGAGATGAGCTCATCCTGACATAAGGTTATGCAGTCCTGATTTTGGGCCGGATGTTAAGAGCCACTGGATTTTCTGAAGTCATATAACTACTGACTGACTGTAATACTACCTCCTTTACCAAATGGTAACATTAAGATTTATTGTTTTCTTTATTTGCTCCCTTTCTGTTCTCTTTGAATGATAAATGATGCCCCTAGTGTTCTGAATACTTTCAGCTGAAATGCCCATAAATCTTATAAGCAATATTAGAGGAAACAGAGGAAGATACTCCCTTCATACTAATAGTAACTTCTGTTAATTTTGCACACAGCTTACCTCTCAGTACTTTTTCAGTTAAAAAGAAAACTGTTGGGTTCTAATATCTAAAAACTGTAGATAAATTAAACATAATAAAACTATTTAAGTCATTAGTATGTGTCACAATGGACATTTGAGCTCAGTGGCAGGCTTCAAAAGACCAAAATGCCAGTGGAAATTCAGACAGTGGTGAAAACACTGAAATAAATCATTGCATTTGTCTTAGTGCAGCATCGCTACTGCTATCTAAGATCTATTATTTAATTATATGGGAATAGGCATCATATAATGAACTAATCGACTGTTCCTTTCCTAGATGAAAGAGAAAGAGCCTTCTGAACTGTTGAGAACCAAAACTTTCCATCCCACTGGTCCCCAGTCAGCCTGAGCCTCCCTCCATCTGAGACATGGGTTCAGGAGAGATTGCTATTGGCATGACTGGAAAATTCAAGTGGGATGCTGTGAAACAGCATTTCTCCTTGTCACATGTGCTCAACTAAGGTGAGAGGGCTTTCCCTGGACAATAAGGCCACTGCTGCTTCCCCCCAGTTCTCAGCCTCTGGAGCTGCTCCAGTGTAAATATGATAAGGTAAGAACCCTTCTTCTATATCGGTGAAAAAATCAGGCATGTTTAGGAATACTTCTCAGATGGCATAGATTTGATTTTACCACAAGAACCAACAAGCAGCCTGGAAGTCACTACATTTGCCTTTTGCAGTGTATTAGCCATCTCCAAAGTGCCTTAGCCTAAGCCTCCCATTCATAACCCTTTTAGCTGCTGAAGGAGAGTTAGGAGCAGCTGGTACCATGGATGCTTAAAATAATCAATAATTGCTTCAGGGTAGATAGCTTCTTCCTCCAAACACATCAGTATGATTTACAGTGGAAAAAAACACCCAACCAACACATACTCTGAGTCTCTTTTTTTTTTTTTTTCTTTCAAGGTAGCTAATAAATAGTGTTGGACTTACTGCTGTTTCTTGGCAAGCCTGAGTAAACAGAGGAAGCCCACGTTTCCCTAACCAAACAGCCCCAGCCATAAGCATCACTGAGTTTGTTCTTGGGTTCTAGCCCAAATCTCAGCTTTCCCACTCCACTGACAGTTAGTACCATCTTTCATCTCAAAGCTGGGGGGAGAGCATTGTGTTGCCCAGCTTTTGTGGTTTTTTGCGTTTTTCCTCACCAGAACGCTTGTAAAGCTCATGCAAGTGGTATTCACTGAGCTCTTGACAGACATCTCCACCTGCCCTTCCCAGCTGTGCCTAAGGGATCTGACACACAGCTGGATGGGAGCATCAGTTTGTGGGCTGCTGTCCTGAGAGGACTAGTGGGGTGGTGTTTGTGTTGACCAGCAACTGTCCTTACAATTGGGGGGCTCTTTCTTTGGTTTTGTGGGTTGTTTTTGTGAGGTACGTAAAGGCACATTCTGTTTTCTCTCTTAAGAAAAGCCTCTTTTAGGTGGTGGTTTTGTAAAGAGAAGAGCTTTTGAGAAGGTTTGGCTTTGGCACTTCCTGGAAGAGAAATCACTGCTTTGCAATGACCAGGTACAGTGATGTGCAAGCCCCCAGCTGACACCACTGTAAGGAGGTGAGCCCAAAGGATGCCAAGTAACTATCCTAACAAACCCTACTGCAGTTCACTTCCTGGTCTCCAAGAAAGATGTGAATGTTTCTTTCCCTTGCCAGGGAGGAAAACCTGAAGTAATAGTCTCTTGAAATAGTGCTGGTAGTTTGTTATTTATGGCTGCTCTTGTTACTTCAGAATATAGGGAAAACATGACTGAACATGACTGACTGAATGAATGCCTGCAACAGGACTGCTCAGCTGATGGGCTCTGGTCTGGATCTCACCCAGCTTCAGGACCAAGCAAGCAGATGGATGTGGTATGGGTTAGGAGCTACTTCCAGAGAAAGAAGCTGTTTCCCAGTGATAACAGTAAGATGAGTGCATAGACAATCAAATAAGGTCTTTTAGCCTCTTTTAATTTTATCAAAAGAGTTGTTAAAGGTTATTTTTGGAAGGACATTATTTAAAATCCATTTTTTCCCTTCCTTGCAATGTACGGTGAGGGCCTGAGAGTTCTGGGATGGCTTAAAGGTTTCTTCGTTCCTTTCCCTCCCAACCCCCATAAAATGGAAGATATGAAAAACATGCAGCCTGTGTTTTGCAGTCAGTTGTCTTGAGTTAATGACTGTCCTGGTTTCGTTTGAGATAGAATTGATTTCTTCTCAGTACGGTGCTGTGTTTTGGATTCAGCATGAGAATAATGTTGATAACACACTGATGTTTTTTGCTAAGTCCTTTTCATCTTAAGTCAAGACCTCTTTATGTTTCGTGCTCTGCCAGTGAGGAGGTACACAAAATGAAAACTGGGAGAGAACATAACCAGGACAGGTGACCAGGACAGGCCAGAAGGGTATTTCATACTATAGAACATCATGCCCAGTATATAAACTGTGGGAGCTACCCAGAATGGGGGCTGATCTGGGTTTAGGGTCTAGCACTAGTCAGCAGGTGATGAGCAATTATACTGTGTATCATTTCTTTGGTTTGTGGTTTTGTTTTATTAATTATCATTGCTATTATATTTTACTTTGTTTCAACTATTAAACTTTTCTTAACCTACAAGCTTTACTTTTGATTGTCCCTTCTATTCCACGGCTGGGGGTGGGGAGGTGGTGAGTGAGTGGCTGCATGGTGCTTAGTTGCCAGCTGGGCTTAAATCATGACAGTGATATTAGGTCATTCTTATTGTAAGGGCCCACGTTTTGGGTGGAAGTGCTAGGTGTAATAAAAACTGTAAGAATTATTTCTTCTCCCGGAATTAGTTTTACTTTTTGTTCAGTGAGGGTCAACAGATGTTCATCTCTCAGCACTCTGACTGAAAGGAGTGTAATACTTCCATTATCTTTTCTGTCACCATCACACTTGGGTGTTGGTCAGAGCTGAGCTTTGAATGAAAAGACAAAAAAGTTCCTAATTAAGCATAAAAATAAATTAGCACAGAAGCTATTACCTTCTTAGCAAATAGCACAGGAGAGAGCATACTGTAGCAAATTCTGGTATTCTGAATCTTTTTTTTTTTTCCCCTAAACATTCTCTTGTCTGCCAGAGTTTCACCAACCAGCATGGTCCCAACAGCCGGGCAGGTAGTCACACAGTGAGGAGCTAGGAAATGATTCACAGCATTTGCTTTGCCAGGGAATTTTCTGAATAGCAAAACCCGAGTGGGAACAGCACTAAGCAACCAAACTCTCAGTGCTTTAGATTAAAACCTATCAGAGGCTATTTAGGACTAGGATAGAAGTAGGAAGAAGTAAAAGCAAAATTCTGCAGAAAAGGCTCTCGATGAGTGAAGCACCTGAGAGCAATTGGCAAGGAAAAAACTGCGGGGTGGAGGTGGAGCTGCATGGTGGGGGTGTCCCGAGGCGAGAGGTGTCCTTGGCTGGGGCCATGCCTCTCCCCCGGGATGGGGAACCACGGGAACCTCCCGGGAGTGCCAGAGGGGACAGAGTGGGGGCCGTCCCTCTGTGGGGCCCCATTGCCCCTGCTCCCCTTGTGCTGGCCTGGCCCGGGAAAGAGTTAATAGTTCTCAGTAAGAAGCTGCGGCTTTACTTTTCTCTCTCCTTTTTGTTTGTATTTTGTTGATGTTGTTGTTGTTTTTGCTTTAACATAATGCGTTTGGTAATTATGGCTATGTTCTTTGAAAACATTTTATTTGCTTAGTGCCTAGTATGTGAAGATCTTTAAAGAGATCCAGCCATTTTAGTAGATGTTCATATAATATAGTCCTCCCCTTTTTTTCCCTTCTGCAGCAACCACTGTTATAGCTTCTCATCTCATTCCTCATAATGAGCGAAACCGGTCTCCCCTTCTTTCCCTCACCCCTGCAGTGCAAAGTTTCAAAGCAAAGAGAAAAAGAGTCAACAGTTGAATAAATGTTTCTGTGACACTGTTGTGTGGGACTATGTGTCATTTTATCACCACGTGAACTACTGAACAGATCCTGAGAGTGAATTTCATGCCTCTTACCAGGTGGGTTGTCCTACACGTTCACACGCCTTCTCCACATCAGTTTGCAATGCCTGAAATCTCTTCTCGAGACAGGCCCAAACACTCTGCACAAACATTATTAAAAAAGACCACTATGATGCCCTGGTGTTAAGTACTTGTTAAGAAGATATTTTGTACTGCTCACTGTATTCAACCATATGTTCTATGGAGACTGGATGTTTTTCAATTAATAGGTAGTCCCTGAGCTGCTTTTAACTTTGAGAAAAATGTTGTACGAAGACTTCATGCAGGTCATTTTAAGGTAGAAAATAATATGTCTTGGCAGGTGTATGTGTGGGGTAATGCACAAGATGTCATTAGGATGTGATTCTTTTAAATTACACATACATGGAAAATACTAATCTATTGCTTTCAATCTCATTTAATTTTTCCCAGTGAGATTACAAAAAGATTTTCTCAAAATGGGAAATAGTCTGACCCAGACACTATTAATGATCACTGTGATATCTTTAACTGAAAACTGGCAATATTGCAGGGGGAAATTACTGTGAAATAGCAAATATTTAATTCATATTGATGCTTACAATGCTTTTTGGACTGGTTTTTGCTTCCTGGCATATTTGGGAAAGTTTACTGCGCAGGATAGGGCATTCATGTGCTTATTGCTAACCTTGTCATACTGACAGTTCATTGTTGGGATTGTATTTTTTTTCTTTTTTTTGGAGTTCTTATGGAATATATGTCTCTATAGTGGTTCTCTCTGCTATTTGAGATTTAAAAAATGCTGCAATTTGTGGATTGTTTGAAAAATGCCAGTTACTTCTAAAGATTTAATGAAATTTCTGAAAAAGTAAGCCAATGACCTATAGGCTTGAATCTGTTAATGAGAAATCTCTGCCTCCACTGGCAAGTTATTTAAAAGATGATGAAAGCCAGAGGAACATACATTGAGAATGTGCAGCTGTCAAAACTGCAGACTAGGGGCAGGCAAAGGACTAAGAACATGGGTTATCTAGGGCAGTACTGAAGAGTAAGTAGAACCATGGACTACAAAATTCACCTGCCAAATGGTGCTCTCATCAGAATGAGCAGCTGGAGAACTGTAGTGAATCAAGTTAGAAATCCTAAAACACACCTTTCCTGAGTCTGAAAGGTTGATTTTTTTTTCCTTTTTTTTTGGTGGGAGGAGGGAGGAAAAATGTTCTGTGATTTTATTTTCTTTTTCTTAACTTCAGAATGATTAATTTCAAAAGAAATTTGAAGGTAGTAAATGTATCTCTAACCTCTAGTGGATGAATACAGATTTCAAGCAGAGCAGAAGGAGCTCAGGAAACTGGTTGCAGACAGCTGTGCCACCACTGGCTGATCCCCAGCTGTGGCAGGACCTGCTTGGCTCAGCTGGCTGAGCTGCTTAGCATGCCTGCTTCCCAAACCATCAAATCCTGTGAGCTGGAAACCTTTGCTCATCTGGTTTGCTTTGACTGATACAACTAGGGAGAGCTTCCACAAGGGGCTGAGTCAATAGATGCAAATGAGATGTTTTGCTATAAATCTTGACTGTGCCCAGCAGGTCAGCACTGACCACCTGAAGAGTTCACTCTGCACCCTATTTTTTCCTCTTTAGGGGGGGTGGGAGTGGGGGGGCTTAAACCATTGCTAGTTAGAAGCACATGAATAGAGAAGAGGTGGTGTTAGTAGTCACACAGGAGCTTATTTCCATGCCTCTTGGATGGGGTCACATAAAAAGCAGGATTTCATCACACCTGATGGTCACAAATGTGCCTACATTGACTGGTTTAGTTGTTTACAGGGGTAATAGCAAGTTGTGTGAGTGATCCTTGCTCGCACCATTGTCTGCATACTGCTGGACAGCAAAGGGGTTCAGTTTTGCTTGAGAAGCAAGCAGAGCGGGTCACTAAGGCTCCTTTCTTTTTTTTCCTTTTTTTTTGTTTTCTATTTCATCATGAAAAGAAAGAAAACAGTTTACAAGAACATATCTTAAGGTGTTTGGTGTTTATATCCCATTTATAGACCTGTAATTCATCCTCAGTTAATATAACAACAAAGTTAATAAAATAACCTTTATTTTGATTCTCTGAATGATTCACCATCCCTCTTTGTGGCTGTTTTGTTCAAAAATAAAGGGGGAGAGGTTATCCTGAGTACAAAGGGAGATGATAAAAGCTTCAGTCTGTTTCTGGACCTCCTACGTAATATTGCCATAGTAACAAGGAGCTGAATGTGGCTGTTCATCACTGAATGCTGAGGTAAAGCAGACACTCTTCTTATTCAAAGGAATATTACTAAAATACATATTTTTTAAGGGGTCAATAAGGAATCAGGAAAAAATTACCTGCCTTACTTAGCACACTCTGTAAGCTAATAATAAAGTGCCACTTTGAAAGAAGACAGGACAAGTAAGGCATTTAGCAAACATTTATAATGCTGTAAATCAGAGCATTTTATCTTCCACACAAAGCAATGCTGAGGTGTGATGTGCAGTCACGGATAATATATTTTGACATAAAAATTACATGAGACAAGCAGCTCTCTTTTCTTCTGCTTAATACATTTCTGGCATGGCCGTTGGCTGTGGCTATTGCCAAATATTTGCACTGCAGCATTGACTGGCTGGCCTCTAATCCAGATTATAGTATAAGTGGGTAAGGTATCTTGTGTTTTTAGAACTGCATGATGTCACCTAGATCCTGGTGCTATATTTTAACCATTAAACCACCTCCAGAGGGGATTAAATTCTGTTCCAGGTGTGTGCATCAGGTAAGTATGTATATCTTTGACATTTCAGTGGAAAAACGAATAGCTTAATTGCTCACAGGAAAAAATTGGGAAGGATAAAAAAGTGCACCCATTTCAGTGTACTATTACTAGTGTAAATACTGTTACTACTGTAACTTCTCTATGCTTTATAGTAAGAATTAGATATTTAACTTGTCGCATTTCTATGTCCAATAGCAGCTTCCCCCCTGCCTTTTTTAACTTTTCTGGATTTGATCAAATGATGGATTAACAATGAAATTTGTTACTCTGCACACACTCTTAAAGGCCTTATTAAATTGCAAAATGTTGATCTGGTGTGGTTTTGTTTTTGTTTTTTTTTCTTTTCTGAAGGCTTTTTCAGTCTGAAGCTTGTTTAAAATGAGAGCTTGAAGCATGGAGCAGAACCTGACTATCAGCCACGGCTGCCTTCTGAGATCAGGGGGTAGGAAATTGCAGAAATGGAGACTGAGCTGAGAGTGCTGGAAAATCCCTGTGAAATGCCAAAGTAAATGGATACCCCAACTCCTTCTGTGACTGACTTAGGTAGCAGGTGACAAACTGGCTCCACAGGCAGAACCACTTTCTTCCCTCAGCTCTGTGCTGGCACCCAGGCAATCCTACGTGTGCTGGCAGCTGCTGGAGCAGGTTAGGTGGTACATGAGGTGTCATTTCTTTGAGAAGGCAGGAGGTAGGGTGGCCTTCACTTTCTCCTCTTTGAAAAGGGCACCCTGGGCAGTCAGATACACATGCACACCACGGTTGTGGAGTCAAGCGCACTGAAGTTAGGTATGAAGTAGTTCAACCATCCCCCTTTATTTATGTGCTCATATAGCCTT